CTAAAAACAACACTATAATATGGAGTGCAACCTCTCAATCAGTGAGCTTTTCATTATGGTTCTGTATTTTGTGAAATGTCACCGATCTGCCTGTGTTTTGAATTTGCCGCCAGCAGAAGACCTAACTAAATATGAGTGGCTGGGGAAATTCACTGGATATGTAGTAACCAAGTTATTGGGAGAGGGACAACAACGCTGAATGAAATTGAACTGGAAGCTACTTTGTGTTTTAATTGGAATTAAAAGATAGAGGACGGGTTGGTTAAAGAGAGGGAAGGGATCCAAAAAGCCGTTACACATACAGAACATTTTCAGCAATGAACTTTAACAGAGTAAGTTTATACTTAGCAAGTTAGAATCATAATACAGTGGATTTGTCAAAATATAGAATCTTAATGTTGTGTTCTTCTTTACCAGTTAAAAAAAAAAAGCTATACAGCTCGGTTCCTCAGAGTTACAGATAAGAATTTGTTCAAATGTAATTTTCTTATTGAAAAGAAATATATCAGACTGCAGAGGTTCTAGATATCCCCACATGAAAATATTTCCTAAATTTAAAAATTATGCTGTGGTGATGGTAACTTAGTTTCTTTAGCATCATTATATTAGTAGACATCTTCATGTTATGTTTTCAGCAGAGCACAGACACAGAAGCAGAGACGGCTGCAGAGTTAAGGATGAAACAGACTGACTGGAATATGTAACATGCGTTTATTGCTATATATTATTAGACCTCTTCATGTTATTCTTTTCAGTGATAAAAAATAAAATGGATAGCTTCTGCATTTACTTAATTTAAATACAGTACCATGCAAGTTTAAGTACAGTATACTGCTCTTTGATATAACTCTGGTAGCTTTTTATGTGCTGTGTGTCGGCTCTGCTGTGCTGCCAGTTCATTTTTTTAACGAGTCTGAAAATAAAGTTTGAAAGTAATGCATAATCACATTACAGTAGTGCACAGTGTGCAGACATAACTCTGATAGCCTACAGTAGGTCTATGTAACTTATTCTGTGCGCCGGCTCTGCTGTGTCACCGGTGCATTTTTTTTTTTAACATGCTGAAAATAATGTTTGAAACCAACAGTTTCATAGAACAACAACATAGAAAATAACTGCATAGGCTACAGAAAATTAAAGCTAGCCTACCTCTGTTTTGTGTTGCAGATCTGCTGCGCCGCATTAAGAAATCACTTAACATATTTATCCATGGTTCCCTGGATCAGAGTGTTGTCCAACACAGAGTTCACTTTTTTTTTTTCAAAATTATGTAAAAGTTCAAAGTTTTTGAAGCCAACATGCAGGAGGATTTTTGTCAGGACTCACTTTTAGCCATGTACAAAAACACAAGGTCCTTTGGGTTCTATAACTGTAGGAGCATCAGTCCCCAAACTTACAGAGTGTCCCTACCAACTTTAGTCACAAAGTTATACCCTTGGTTTCAAGCCTATGTTTTGGGTGGTTTGTGAAGTTATCCGCTTCCTTAGATATAAAATAGATCCCTAAAAAAATAATCTTTGTCCTGAGGGCCGTTATATTTGTTTTCCAAAATCAAAAACTTTTTTTAAAGAATTTGTAATATATGTACAATAAGCCAGTCCAAGTTTGAATAGTTTATATTAAATTAAGCTTATACTACATAATTATCAATTGGCTTGGAAATAGCTTTTTAGCTTGGCAAAATGTATAAGCATGGAAAAAAATGTTAAATATATGTAACAGAGCCAGGCTTTGGGCCTGTTGGTCAGATTAAAGTCCTGTAAAACCGGAGAATGAATGAGACAAGCGACGGATGAAGTTTCTCCATGCCTCGCTTCTGCCGTATCTATTAATACAAGTACATGAATCATAAACACAAAGCATCACAAATGATTCTCATTTGAAAAATATGCAATAAATTATCCCTTATGTAGAGTAACTTATAACTTTCATCACAAGTATCCTTTAACATTGACAAAAAAGCAAATATGATCAGTTACCAGTTTTTAATAACTTTTTGCTGTTTTTATTGTATTTAAAACTCTTTAACCACAATACCTTTTTAAAAATGAGAGCTGGGCCGCTTTTTAACACATAGCTTAGCTTTATTTTTATCTCTGTTTAGCTGAATGGTTCATACATTGCATGGCAGTGAAACATGCATATCAGCAGACTTAGCTTCAGATTTCAACTTTCACTTAATCCTTTTTTTAATTATAAGTAAACCCATATTTATCTCTCCCAATGGTATATCAACACTGGCGCCAGCAGCATTGCCTTTACTTCGTTTTTTCACACCTTTCCACATACCCGAAACTCAACAAAAATGCAGTGCTTACTGACTAATTTATAAAGTCACATTTAGCTGTGTTTCTCAACAGTACTTTCTGACCCATTTCATGTGGTTTATACTCTTTAATTAACCTGTAAAACAGGAGAATGAAGGAGACAAGCTACAGGTGAAGTTTCTCCATGCCTCACTTGAAAAAGCAGAGCCTATGACCTCAATATGCCATCTCAGTGTGTAATGTGCCACCTTCTGGTGTGAGTGCGCAACTACAATTCAAACAAATTATCATTAAAATCAAACAAATAAATAATGTGAATACACATGAGTGTGTCACATTTAGCATTGCTAGCCGGTTATCCAGCAGTAAAATTCTTAACGTGCTTACAAATCATTTTGTTTAAGTTATCAGTTCTAAAGGCTGCCAAACAAAGTGACAAGGTTTTATTTATTATTTTATAACTAAGTTGTTGTACAGCTTAAAGAGTCTTTATCTGTCAGCTTATTCAGGTAATCTATAAAATACTTACTTTGTTTCATCAGAATAAGAGCCACAAACATACACTGTATGTTTTCAAGCTAAACACAGTGATATTCATACTATAACCCTTCAACTTTTACCTGCTTCATTGGACTAATTCTGAAATAGACAGCAGGTGCTTAACTTCAGCAGGAAATAATTTAATTTAACATTGTGAAATGTTCTTATACATTTAATAATCCATGAATGTAATTGGTTTTTGCTTTTACTCTAGATGGTTTCAACGTCCCCAAAGGAGCAAATGCGATCATCATTACATACACTCTTCACCGTGATCCACGATACTTTCCAGAACCAGAGGAATTCCGGCCTGAGCGTTTTTTTCCTGAGAATTCAGTTGGAAGGCCCCCGTATGCATATGTCCCTTTCTCTGCTGGACTCCGCAACTGCATAGGTGGGAAAAGGAAATTCTGGGGTTCAATTAATCAACCTACATAAGGGTCATATGTGTTTTTTTAAATTTGTTTTGTACTCGGATTTTCAGGTCAGCGTTTTGCATTGATGGAAGAAAAAGTTGTTTTGGCATCCATTCTGCGTAACTTCAATGTCGAGGCCTGTCAGAAACGTGAGGAAATTCGCCCAGTGGGGGAACTCATCCTGCGACCAGAGCAGGGCATTTGGATCAAACTGGAAAAGAGAGAACCACTTGCTCCATAAAATCAGCATTGGCTCAATTATTAAGATTCATTTATTCATAGTATTTTTTTTTTTGTGTGTGTGATTTTAAATAATCCAAATAGCAGAAAATGTATCAAACAAAGATCTCTAATAGTGGAATACAAATAGCATTACTGGGTAATTTAGCTGCTCTGCCTCTGATAGTATGATAATCTAAAAAACATATTGTATTCTAAGCAAAGATTTGATTGCTTAGAATACATTTCTTTTGTATAGTTCTGCATTTTGTGGCTGGTACTGCTAATGGAATATGAGTGACTTCTTGTTATTTGATCTTGCACAAGTATTTCTTGTAATTCTGTTTGAAAATTTCTTGCATTACCAAATGTTTAAGATACAGACATGTGACATGAGTGGAACTATTTCTGAGTATTATTGGTCTGGTTTCCAGCCTTCAAATAATGCTGCATTATTACTTTTAGATAATACTTAAGAATTCTTAGTCAGATGAGCAGAATTCAGCGATGATTGGGCTGGAACAGTAGAGCAATAAGCACTGGGAAGAAACCATCCATCCATCCATTTTCTTACACGCTTAATTCCAAGCGGGGTCGTGAGGGGTGCTGGGGCCTATCTCCAGCTGTCTGCGGTCGACAGGCGGGGTACACCCTGGACAGGTCGCCAGTCCATCGCAGGGCAGGAAGAAACTAAATAAACTAAACTCTGTCACAGACTGGTATAGTTTCCTCTACATAAAACAAATATTTAACACTAGGAATATGCAAATATGCATAGAGGCAGACTGGCAGCCCCATACAATCCAGCCTCATTGTTTACCATGAACATGATTACAGGACTAAGGTACACATTCATCTTAAGAGATTCTGCAAAGCCAGACAGGGGGTAGCCCAGTGAGACTGTGTATGCACAAGAACTAGTGGAAGCAGCATAACTCAGGATGAAGTCAGCAATAAAATCTGAATAATGTAAAAGAGTTGCCGGAATCTAAGTGACAGCTATTCAGTAAAACAACCATGCTCAGGAGCAGGTATGCCATCTCTTGCTGAGAGATGACAAGCCCAACCCGGCAACCACCTGTCTGTTGGAGAGTCTGCAGAAATGAGCCAGGAAATGAGCACGACAGGAAAAAAAAAAACATGTTTCTTGACACTACTTGATTAGAAAATTAGCCCACCAAGCAAAAACTGGTTTAAAAGACATTGAAAAGATGACATGATTTACGTCCAAACAATGTCTACATTTGGTTGAAAAGTGAAAGGTGAAAGGTCATAATTTTCAGATCGTTGGAAAGACGTTGCAAAGTCGTTTTTAAACGTCTGTTATTGGACTAAAGTGGGACACAATCGGATAGACAAAACACATTCCAATTTTTAACAACTATTTCTGCACTAAATCAAGACTGTGATGGACCGGCCAGATTTAGCCTATAAACCAAAGTCTAAACTATGTGTGGTGTTTGGGGGGAACCCTTTAGTCTCACAAACTGCGGGCTGTTTTTCAGATAGTGTTTAATCCAGGCAATTGCTGATGCCTACATATGAGTCTTGTGGAGTTTCTGACATAATAAGGCAGAATCATGTTAATTGTACTAAAGAAATCAAAGAAAAAGACAGGAATTTTCTCACACTGTAGACTGCCTTGTCTAAATTACAGTTAGTTTGTTAAAACAGATATGTATGATAGTTTCTTCAACTCCAACTCTACTCTGATAAATAAACTGCAGTGGCCCTGATAGCTGCATCTTTCCGTGCTCAGGTGAACCAACAGGTATCACTAAGACATTCCATATCTTGGTGATATGGAATGTCAGGGTAACAGGTCTATAGTCCTTGAGGACTGTTGTCACAGTTTTCTTTTGTTCTGTAACAAGGCAGGTTTTCCACAACCGATGGACTTTCGATTTTATGCAGCGACTTTTTTAAACGTGAAGCAGCATTTGAACTTAGCAGGTACACAAAAAAACCATGCCATGGTGGTAAATGGATCATCCAGAGTATGGGACATGGTAATGCTGCAATAACAATAAGCTGTATAATAAGAGGCATCATCCAGTCTAATGCAGGGTCAATTTTAAGTGAGAGACCCATTTGAATCAGATTAAAAATAATGAAACATTTTTATAAAGTAATATGATTATTGATTTTCCCATTTTCTTTCAAATTGAGCTCAGTGCATTAAAACACATATGACCTTCTTCTCAGAGGACGAGGTAAGGTCTTCTAATTTAAGAGTTAAGAGGGATACGTTCATAAAACAATGATTATTTAACTCTGCTCAAACTTCTCAAACATGCAGTTCACTGCAACTGAAACTGATGACCAGAGAGCGGCAGCAATGTAACATTTCAGTAGTGTAGCCAGAGCAGAGAGACAATCTTGTTAGTTGTTGTTAGTATGTTGTCCACAACAAAAAAAGAAGTCTGCCTCTTTTGTGTTTGGTTAACTCGTTTAAAATCATGAAAATGTTTTGAGGGTGGGATTCTAAAACAAGTGGAAGTGCATGTACAAATGTACACAAGACCACTTATTGAGTATGGGTTTAAATGAGAGAAACCAGAGTCTTTTTTTTTTCCTGAGTTATGTCCATTCACTTTCATGTTTTCAGTTAATGCAACAATGCAAGAAAAGCCCATGTCATCACCTGTAACAATAACACCTTTAACAATTGCCTTTTCATCTTCCAGTAAAGGACCCACTGGGCAAGCAGAGTGTTTGGGGAGTGTTGGCCTAGTGGTTAGAACAGAGTGCTTGTGCTCTGAGAAGTTTGCAAGTATCGGTTTGATCCCCATAGCCTGCACTTAAGGGTCTTGCTCAGAGAACCAGAGTGCAGGCTAGGGTTCTCTGAGCAAGACCCTTAACCCTGCACTGCTCCTCGAGCGCTGCACAGTGGCAGCCACTGCTCCCAAAAGAGGATGGGTTAAATGCAGAGTTAATTTTTCTCCATTGTGAGATCAATAAAGTTTAATTTATATCTTTCTATTTCTATTATTTTGAAAACTATAGAGTGGCCAAGGCTATAGCCCCAAGATTGGTGTCTAAATAATATAGCAGCTTAACTGAACAAAAACTTTACAAGACCAGCATCAAACATGTTGGAAATTCAGCCGGCCCTCGTAAGGGGTTCGTGGACAAATCCTGCTGTTTATAGTTCTGTTTTGCAGCAACTTGGTTTTGAAGTTAGGCATTAGGCCTGACTTAGACTCTGGTCATTCTGGAGTTTCTGGTCATATTTTCCATTAGATCAATGCCTCTATAAACACCCAAATAATGTCTGTACTGTCCAGTGAGTATTAAGGAAGGGAAATGAGGATGAAGAGAGTAAAAGGAAAGTAAAAAGAGATATTTGCCGGGAATAAATAGATGAAGGAAAATGTAATACAAATCTGGAAAGAGCACAGAGTCTTAAATCTGATGGAAGGACAACTTAAAAAGTAAAAGATTAATGAGAAGACACTCTGTCCCTTGTTTCTCTCTCTTCCCAAGGCAACCTGTTAGATTATTAGCATCCAACTTTGAAGTCAACTGGCTCAACTGTCCAGTTTGAAGTTGACTTATATAGTCACCATGGCATAGAAGTAAGCACAGTTGCTTTAGTATCAATTGTATAATTGCAAAGTTCTCTACTCTGTTTACTTGTAGTTTAGTATATACTAAAATTGGAGCGATACAGAGAAGATTAGCATGGTCCCTGCACAAAGATGACATTCAAATTCGTGAAGCATTCCACATTTTGAGCTAGGGCTAATGGCGCAATGGATAATGCGTCTGACTATGTTTTAGAAGAATCTAGCTTCAACTCCTGGCTAGCTTGTTTGCTTGGATGGGGAATTAGCTAAAATGGTAGAGTGCTTGCTCAGCATCATGCGAGGTAGCAGGATCAATGCCTGCATTCTCCATTCGACATCAATTTAAGTGACACCACATACTTTTTAAGGGGAGTGGTGGCCTAGTGGATAGGGCATTGTGCATGTAATCCAGAGGTTCTAAATTCAAGCCCCACTGCCACTCTTGTGAGTATGACCTGAGCAAGATCTTAAACCCCACACTGCTCCTCGGGCGAGGCACAATGGCAGCCCACCCCTCCCCAAGGGGATGTGTTAAATGCAGAGAGTGCATTTTGTTGCTCTGTACTCATGACAATAAAAAGCTGGAAAAAAAACAATTATGAAAAATGTGAAGCTTATTGTCAACTTGTTTAATGAGCACTTCCTTTAATTTAGTGGTGCTGCTCCAGCAGAACCAGGCTCAGTGTGAGCTTCCATCTGCTGAGGCCAACTGGGGTTCAAGGAGACAGAAGCAGACATACAGAAAGAAGCAGAGATACCAAAAGTAACTGTAAAAGGCCACCCCATCCAGGAAACACACAGCCAGTCAGACGAGCTCTGAGCCAACTCCCATGTCAGAGGATCCAGCCAGTCACAGTCAGAGAAACCGGACACTGGAAAAACAGGCCGATCTCCAACATGTATAAACAAAGGTGTTATTGGTAGCAGCACATTCAGAAGGAGCTGAACACAGTGTTTTTATTCTTACTGCGATTCAAACTGAGTGAACACAGTGTATTCTGAATCCTGCTCCAGCAGAGACAGAAAGAGCCAATTGCCGAACAAAGTGCGCCCCGATTGCTACTCGTCGAACGAGCTGTTAGAAGCCGGAATGTGACTGCCTGGTACAGAGCAGCGAGAAGAAGTGCTGCTAAATGCTGAGGCTACAAACTAACCAGCATAGCTAAAAGGGAGACACCCTGTGTTACTGTGAGTTATAAAATTAACCCCTTTGTGAACCGCCTCTTATTGTTGCATCGGATTGATCCAAATCCCTTTAAGTTGCTGTAGGACGAATGGATTGGACCGAAGAGGGGCCTGCAGAAACTGGACAGAGCTGAAGGCCTTACCTCCACTGAACCAAAAACAGTAACTGCATCCTTCCCCCTCCTATCCATCTGATGCTTAATAAGTGCTCTGCTTGGGTGAACTATAGGTAGAATAGATAGTCATGTTGGTGTTTTTATTTGAAATAAG